CTGTTCAATTGTTTTGAGTTCTTTGTATATGCTGGATATTAGTGCTGTGTCAGGTGAATAGATCTTACATTTAAAACTTTAATCCATTTGACTTTTGTATATGGTGAGAGATAGGACTTGTTTTGTTCTTCATGTAGCTAGCTATTCAATTTCCCAACTCAGTTTATTAAAGAGATTGTCGTTTCCCCACTGTACGCTCTTGTCAGCTTTTTTTGAAAATCAGTTAGCTGTTAATCAGTTAGCTGACATTATTTCCAGATTCTCTATTCTGTTCCATTGGTCTCTGTTTCTTTTTGTATACCAATACCATGCTGATTTGCTTACAATAGATTTCTAGTAGATTTCAGTAATATGCTGCCTGCAGCTTTGTTCTGTTTGCTGAGAATTGCTTTGGCTATTCACACTCCTTTTTGGTTTTATATGAATTTTATTTTATTTTTACTAATTCTGTGAAGGATGACAATGGTGTTTTGATAGGGATTGCATTGAATTCGTAGATTGCTTTGGGCAATATGGTCACTTCAAAACATTAATTCTAATTCATAAGCCTGCAGTGTTTTTCTATTTGTTCATATCCTAGACATTTTATTTTCTTACAGCTGTGATTAATTTGTCATTTGTTTCTCATCTAGCTCATAATTGGTATATAGAAACATTTCTAAATATTATTATTATTATTGTTTTTTGAGATGGAATCTTGCTCTGTCGCCAGGCTGGAATGCAGTGGCATGATCTAGGTTCACTACAACCTCTGCCTCCAGTATTTAAGCGATTCCCCTGCCTCAGCCTTCCAAGTAGCTGGAACTACAGGCATGTGCCATCACACCCCGACTATTTTTTTGTATTTTAATAAAGAGGGGTTTTCACCATGATGGCCAGGATGGTCTCAATCTCCTGACCTTGTGATCTGCTCTCCTTGGCCTCCCAAAGTGCTGGGATTACAGGCACAAGCCACCGTGCCCTGGCCTGATTTTTATATATTGAACTTGCATCCCGTACTTTACTGAATTCTTCACTTTAGTGATTTCATTTACTAATCTAAGAGTAAGTCTTTAGGATGTTTTTATATTTGTTTATTTGTTATTTGTAGAAACAGGGTTTCCTTATGTTATCCAGGCTATCTAGTCTCAAACTGGGTTCAATCAGTTCTCCTGCCTTGGCCTCCCAAAGTTCTGAGATGACAGGCATGAGCCTGCCCATCCAGGTGTCTCTAAACATAAGATCATGTTATCTGTAAAGAGGGCCAATTTGACCTCCTCTTTTCCAATCTGGATGCCTTTATTTTGTCTCTTGCATGATTGGCTCTGGCTCAGTACCCCTGTACTATGATGAATAGTAGTGGTAAGAGTGGGCATGCTTGTCTTGCTCCCGTTCTTACAGAAAGATCTTTCAGCTTCCCTCCACTTATTAATCAGCTGTAGGCCAGTTGAATATGGCCTTTATTATGTTGATATATGTTCCTTCTGTGACTAGTTTGTTGAGTGTTTGTAACATGAAGAGATATTAAATTATATAA